AAAGTCAACAAGTAACAGTCATCAAGTGAACCAGTAACCAGTGAAACAACGTGAAGAACCAAGTAGAGCTGTGCGGAGTCATCAAGGAAACAAGATCGCTACGTCGAGAATGGAGACACAGGTAGGCGCTTTGTCACAACTTCCGTCGCGATTTGAGGCGGCATTCCACCCGGCGTGTCCGACAGAGTTGAACAAATAGAGTCCTTCGACAAGGAACTGTGGGCTCAGAAGGAAAGTTGTCTAGAACCAGCTGCCTGCCTACAAGAACTGCATAGGCGAACTCCGGCGTATGCCTGATCGTCCTGCAGGAATTGTACACGGTCTTGGTGCGACTATTGTTCAGCTAGTGTTTCGAAAGGCGTATGCGTTGAGAGCACAGCAGTTCACCGCTAGAGTCCCACAACGGCAGCTTACCGAATCGCGAGCGCTACGCCAACAAGAAGCGGTGCCAGTCAATATATCCCGAGGCAGAGCAAGGACAACAAGGACGCCAGGACGACGAACAGCGAGCGCCGTGCGAGCATCAGATACGTCGAATTCTAAAGTCTGCGACAGAGAGGGTAATGTGGAAGCGTTCGTCTAGAACCTGGCGTTTGACCTTGGGACTGCGTTAGCGGCTTTCGGCGTACGCTCGAACCGTCAGGTAGAAACTGAGCCGACGTCCGGTGCGACCGGCCGGGACAGAAGAAGAGACAGAAGGCTGTGGCTGCGAAAGGCGTTCGCCTTGAGAGCACAGTGCCTGTTCACCCTAGTCTAGGAACGGTGACGCATCCCTAAGCCCTGTAATGCCGCCGAGCCAAAGGCAACAGAAGGCTTCGCGAGCAAAGCCGGCGAGGGAGACATCACTTCGCAGCAATCACATCCCAGCGAACCGTTCAACGTAAGAAGGAACCGGCAGCGGAGCATATGTCTACATTGTCAATACAAAAGTCAGATCCCTGTATACTCCAAAAGATCCCTGTATACTCCCAATCTTTCTGTGCGTTTTCACTGATCAATAGGGCAGTCACGTTTATATAAATTTGGTGGGACGAACACTTACATCTTCTGAGCTAACCGCACGACATTCGTAGCAAGCAGATAAATCAAGAAAATCAGATCGTTACATCTGGCGCCCAAAACGTAATTGTCCTGACAGTGAAATTCAGCATCAAACAGAAATGGGAAAGGATGGATCTATCTCCTCAGGAAAGAGGATTTCCCAAAAGTGGCAGCCAACCTTGGCATCATCCTGGTGGGCAGGTCGGAGGACATGCGGAAAGCCCTTTCAGAATATGTCAAAAATAAAACATAAATCGAACCAGGAATGGGGAAATTCGGGCTGAGCTGGAGGAAATCTACGTCAAACCAGGCTCAAGCAGCAAAATGGGAACTCTCAGACGCCGAACAGCTCATAGCTTGCCTAGGCGGAGAGCATGAAGGAGACAGGAAGATCCAGTAGCATAAGTCAAGAAAGAAGACCAGAACAGCAAAGGCCCAGCGCACCAGACTATGCAAAAGTCGCAAAGCAAGTCAGGGAATGTTCTTTCAAGTTTGACGGCTTGGAGAAACCGCTGGAGTTTCTGGAACAAGTAGAATGGCCAGCACACACATACGGTTTGAGCTTAAATCTCATATCCCGAGCCATAAAAAAATAAAAAAAATGGCAGTGTTTCAATTTTCGTCGTTTTTCGATCACCGCTATTTCAGCGATGCTATTTTGACACACATCGTAGATTAATTTCGAACTAAAGTTAGTAATCGAGTTCACACTGAATATTATGTAATTAACCCAACAGTCACTGTTATTTAAAGAGTATTTTTTTTTAATGTCAAATATGAAAGTGGCTCAAGTTGCGCTTAGCTGGCTTAGCACTCTCCGCTCTGATGTCAGGCTACCCTCTTTATGTCGATCACATTTTACCTACTATCCCACTTCATTGGGAACTGGAAAAAAATGAATATGTTCAACGCTATAAACAATGCAATGGATTTGGCGCTAAGTGATGACAAATCGGCATTGTTGTTTGGCGAAGATGTAGGATTTGGTGGAGTTTTTCGGTAAGTAAAACATATATAATAACTAGACTGTTCAATACCTAATAAATTTGCCCCTCAACAGTTGTTCTGTTAATCTACGAGACAAATACGGAAAGGAACGTGTTTTCAATTCACCTCTATGTGAGCAAGGAATCGCAGGGTTTGTTTTAAATATTTTAATACTATGTATAGCAGAAGAGATAATGTTTGCACAAACAATGTTGTTCCTTAATTTTGTTCCTCGTAAAAAAGCGTCTTATATTCAAAAATGTTATTTTTTCATTTAAAAATGAAAATTTTTTTCAACTTTTCAACTACAAAAAAATTTAAAAAACATCAAACATATAATTTTTTTTTATTTTTTTTTCCGATTGTTCCTATGGGAGCTATATGCTATAGTCGTCCGATCCGGCTCGTTCTGACTTATTTAGTACCTGCAATACAACGACAAATGTCTTCTTCACTGCGTTTCAAACTTCTGACTGACTCTCTGCAAAGGTATAAAAATTACTCTCTGCATTGACAGCAGAACTTGTATTTATATTGTATTGACAGATATTTTTTTTTAAATTGTAATTGAAAAAAAAATCGATCGTTCAAACCTAGTACATTTTATTTCGGAGATATGTGCAATATTTGATTAAGATCGTTTGAGTAGGTCGCGTGAAATCTTAACAGAATTTAATAAGAAAATAAAAAAAATGTTTTTTTGAAACTAAAACCCGTGAAACCCCTTGATTCGGCAGATTCCATCAAATTTGGTTTGCGTAATGAAGAGTACTGCGGTCGCAGAAAAAAAGACGGTCGAGAACTTGTTGATATGATATGATTGGAATATCAAACCAATTGTGCCACCGATAAGTGAAATATCGTTTTGTCTCTCGTTCTTCGTGACCATTTCGTCAAAAATTCGACGCCTAAAAATTCTGCCTAACTACTGCATTCGCATGATTTGGCTTCATGTGACATCTGGTTATTTTAAAACTCAAAAGTCCACTCCGGGGAACGCGTTTCGGGTCGATTAAAATAAAAACCGAATCCAAGATGGCGTTGATGGCTATACCAGACAGGACGGACTTTTTGGCATGTTTCAAGGATTGGAAAAATCGTTATCATATTGTATCGGGAAGGGAGTACTTTGAAGGGTGTGACATTGGGCGTAATCAGCAGATCAACATGATCACTGATCATTGATGCATTTCTTACGATAGTTCTGAACGCGTATGGTCACTGATCATGGTGCAAAAATTCTTACATCATGATCAGCAAAAAAGTAGCGTTAAAAAGTAAGCTATCTTTTCTTAATACATGATAGATATCTGCTAGCGTATATCGGTCGTATAAATATCGATAATAATAAATAAAAAACACAATAAACAATAAATAAATTTAATTATTTCTTTATAAGTATCGACAAGAAGAATTGCAAGAATTTTTTAAGTGTGATGTGGCTACGAATGTAGTGGGCAGTGCTGTAGTATCCGGTCCAGATTTTGCTTTCAGCTGTAAAAAAAATAAGTTAGCCACCTTGCCTTTCTTAATACAACAACATAATATAGTTACTGTTTTTGCTGTTTCTGGCGCGAAACACCTTGATACCAATAAGTTCCAAGCCAATAAATTTTTGCGAGGGCGGAATGTATCATAAGCGTTCAGCTGAACAAACTTGATTACTGATTACTGATCCATCAGTGAGCTCTAAGCGTGTTGTTCTGCTGAATACGCCCATTGATTTAAAGGATATGTTAAGAATTTTCATTTTACAAGCAAACAAAATAATTCGATCCTTCCTATAGCAGCATTATAATGTCATTGTCCAATTCGTAAAAATGTAAACAACTCGAAGTATATACAAAAAATTTTAAAAAAAGAAAAGAAGTACAGCTTTTTCATTTATTTTTTCTTTAATAAATAAATGAATAAAATAAATAAATATTCTAAAATATTTAACCATATCTTTAGTATTTAGTGTACTCAAATAAAATTAAAAACAGCAGAGATATACTTTTTTTCATTTATTTTTTCGATCGAAATATAATAAAGATGCTTAATTTATGTACTTGCTGCTACAAAAATACAACATTGTGGTGCATATAGCTTTAAAACTGAGAGACTAGTTCGGTAGAAACGAACAAACGAACATGGCTAGATTGACTAGATCGGCAAAGGATTAGCATCAGCTTTTAGAGTCGATCTATGTCCGTCTGTTTGACCATTCGTTTCTACCTAGACAAGTCTTTCAGTTTTAAAACTATCTGCATAAAAGTACCAAAAATTGTATATATGTATATTGCATGTAGAATATAAATGGGAACAAGCCGGTCTCGTAGGAGCCATTTTTATACCCTTGCAGAGGGTATTATAATTTCAGTCAGAAGTTTGCAACGCAGTGAAGTAGACATTTCCGACCCTATAAAGTATATATATTCTTGAACAGCATCACTAGGCGAGTCGATCTAGCCATGTCCGTATGTACGTCTGTCAGTCTTTCAGTCTGTCCGTCCGTTTAAATTTTCCCAAAAGTTGTCTTTCTATTGCAGGTAGTATATAAGTCGGAACGAGCCGGATCGGACGACTATAGCATATAGCTCCCATAGGAACAATCGAAAAAATAAATAAAAAAAAATTATAACTTTGCTGTTTTTCATATTTTTTTTAGTTCTTTGACATATAGTAATGGTAAAATATTTCAGAATTGCGGTTTAAATTTCATCAAAATCGGACGACTATAGCATAAAGCTCCCATAGGAACAATCGGAAAAAACACAAAAAAACAATATATAACTTTGCTGTTTTTAAATTTTTTTTTTGTTCTTCGACATATAGTAATGGTTGAATATTTTAGAATTACGGTTAAAATTTCATCAAAATCGGACGACTATATCATATAGCTCCCATAGAAACAATAAAAATATATACATTAACTATCTAATAATTAAGCTGCAAATCATCATAGCTTCAATGTTATTAAACATATACGCAAGTAAATCATAATTTTAATGTTTTCAAAAATATTTAATTCTTGCAAAAGCTGCAAGGGTATATGAACTTCGGCTTGCCGAAGTTTGCTTTCTTTCTTGTTTATTATGCCCTTGCATAAGGTATTATAATTTCAGTCAGAAGTTTGAAACGCAGTGAAGGAGACATCTCCGACCCTATAAGGAATATAGGAGAGTCGATCTAGTCGTGTCCGCCTGACCGTCCGTCCGTTTCTGCGCAAACTATTCTCGCATTATTATCTTTGCGTTAAACTTTCCCTAAAGTTGTCTTTCTGTTGCAAGTAGTATATATGTAGGAACGGGACGGAACGGACGACTACATCATATAGAACCCATAGGAACAATCGAAAAAAAAATTAAAACTTGTTTTTATACCCTTGCAGAAAGTTAGTAGTAAAGTGAAAGCAACGGTTTATTGTTTCGGTTTTTAATTTTATTAAAATTGGACATCGATATCATATAGCTGCTTGTCGAACATAAAAATTTATTATTTTAAGAAATATTAAAGGGTACACAAACTTTTTTTTTTGTTTTGTTTTTTGTTTAGCATTAGAGTCTTCCCAAACGTAGTCCATTAAAATAATATTAGAACTAAAATAAAGCTAAAAGTTTTGTTTTGTCAAAATTTTTGTAATAATATTGATGTACTTTGCAACACAAACTTCAGATATTAAACAAAAACACCTCTTAACGAAGAAAAAAAGTCCTGTCGATCAAACATTAAACATAAAAAATTTATGATATTCAATTTTCTGACTTTTTAAATTTTCCCCTCGACACCCCCCCAAAAAAAAGGCAATTTGGGGCCCTCTTTAAAAAATCTTTTTTACAATAACCAACAACAACAACTTGAACATCGACCAACGTGGTGCCGTTTTTGGCATCGCGAGCAATACTAGTTTCTGCTGCAGAGCTCTCACAATCTACGCTTGTACAGACTGGGATCGATCGGTATGTACAAATAAAAAGAAAACTTAGTCCGCAAAAAGCTAAGGAAGCAAATTTGCCTAAACTTACTAAAACTTCAAACAACACCACTAAGGCAACTTCTGCAAACAAATTTTCCATACTTGACGAGCTCAAAAAAAATACAGTCAACCACGCCAAGCCAATAAAATTGTAAAGCCGCCACCTATCTACATTAGAGATCAAAATTGTTCAGATCTAATCAATAAAGTCAAGTAAAAAATTGGGCAAAACAACTTTTATATTACTATAAAACCAAGCTCCAGATCACCAATGAAGCCAACTACCGCTCTGTAACAAACTTCCTGGACAGTAAGCGTGTTAATTATTACGCCTACCAACTCAAAAGTAGTAAAGGACTTCAAGTTGTAATAAAGGGTATCGAGTCAACCGTACCGGGAGCTGATATAGTTGAAGGACTTAAAGAAAATGGTTTTGACGTTTAAGACGTAATGAACATAACCAACAGGGCGTAAATTCCTCAGCCACTCTTCAAGATTGAACTCAAACCAGACACAACTACCTAAAGAAAAACACAGTGCACCCCATATACAAATTGCAATACCTACTCCATCGAAGAATAACCGTAGAGGAGCCGCATAAACGAAACGGCCCGGTACAGTGTTCAAACTGCCAGGAGTTTGGGCACACAAAAAGTTATTGCACTTTGTGTTGGCTGTGGCGACCTGCACTGTATAGAAGCTTGCACGGGTAACGAAGAAGACCAAGCACTGAGAAAATATAGCAACTGTGGTGGAAACCACACTGCTAATTACAGGGGATGCCCCGTCTATAAAGAGATCAAGAGTCGGCTCAACCAGAGGCGCCAACAACCAACCTCCGCCCAACAGGTTGCTCAGCCAAATCTTTACATTCCTTCGCAAACCACTCCTGGAGTTACTTTTGCGGCTGCACTTCGATACCCTGGAATGTCGCCTACAAGAACAGCTCAGCCCGAAGCATTACAGCCCCTCCCGCCTATACCAAAACCAAAATATACTCCGCTTCCAGAGCAAAACACTCAAAGACCAACTCAACCTTATAACCAACAAAACCAGACTTACACTCCACAAATACAAAATGTAATAATGCGAAACACCACTACTGGGGCTCTCGTCTAATTAACCCAAAAGGACGCCAATTATACAACGCTATTATCAGACCCGGTAATAAGCTAGATTTTGTTTCACCAGGT